GGGATAGGGGGTCTCAAGTGTGCCAGACACCACCAAGGAACCTTAGGTCAGGGGATGCCTACTCACTTCAGTTGTGAGCACCGAGTAGCTGGGGGGAGGCCGGTCCACAGACACAGGCAGGCAGAAGGGGCCCGTCCTCAAGCGGCTGTGCTGGAGGAGAGGAATCCACTGTGGGAGGGACATGAGTGAGAGCTAGTGAGCCCACGAGAACAGGCCACTTCCCACAAAAACCTCCCCTATTGTGGAAGCCCAGAGGGAAGGGCTGGTAGTTAGAGTTGGGAATGGGGAGTGGGAAGCTCCAGAGGCATGCACAGAACCGGGGTGGCTTGACTGGTGGTGGGGAGAAGGGGTCCCAGGCCTCACGGTATAGCCAACGGGTGTTTCCAGAGGTGTGCTGGGCCTTGGCTGGCAGCTGACGTGATAGAATGTGAATAGCAGGTGGTGGTTCTCTGTCACGTTGGCTGGGAGCTGTACCTTGAACTCCTCATAGAACTCCGGGCACCTAGAGGGCAGCAGGAGGTAGACCGGTGAGCCCCTAGAGGATCCAGACCCTGCCCTCCATGAACATTCCTTAGGTCCAGGGGCCCACCCTAGGTTAGTAGACCCTGACTTTCCAGCCACTTCTTAACCACCCTAGTTAGACCCCTCTGACCAACCCAAGTCCCTTAAGGCCAGCTCAATCCCTCTGTGCCCACATCAGCCCTTTCAGCCTCCCAGCCCCACCAAATACCTCCACCCAACAGGTTTGACCATTTGGGCCCCCATACTTGCTATGATACACCACAGCTGTGTAGGCCTCTCGGGAAAATTCACTGCAACTGGACTTCCCAAATATCACCTTGGGGGTAAGGAGAATCAGGGTTTAGGGCGGTAACAACTCCTTCACACGCCACTCCTTCCATCTGGGGCTGAAGAAGACAGATGGTGTCATTCTGCCCATGGCAGAGGCTGGACTGAGTGACCTTTATAGAGGAGTCACCCCTCCCCCTACGGAGGACCCTAAACTGGGGTGACAGGGATAGAGCTCAGGTCTAGAAGGGCACAGAAAAAAGGGAGGTCCCCAAGCATTTCCTGCTCCCATGTCCCCAAATAACCATATCCTCTGGCCCTCCCAAATGTAGTTTCTGGACTTAGACGTAATTCATAGGATTATAACATATCAGACGTGGGAAGGCCTTTAGAGAGCTAGCGCAAGAGAGGGGGAAGGGATTTCTCAATCTTACCCAAACCTACCTACAAAGAACAAGCCTGGGCTTTGAAATCAGCTGTCCTGACTTTAAGTACAGGACTTTTTCCACGACAGTGCTGCCTCCCACCAGGAATGTGCAGGCACGGATGGTGGCGCGCGCGCGCACACACACACACACACACACACGCACATGCACACGTGTGCGCACACTGACCGGCAAAGCCTGACTGGGGTCCTCTCCCGCCATGTACTGTACTTTGATGGCAATGTTCCTGACCGAACCCTGGCGGCTGCTAAAGTTGAGGTTGTGGGGGTAGATATACAGCAGGTTTCTGGTGGGGGGGAGAGGAGAACTAGGTCAGAGGTCACAGGGAAGTCTTCGTGCTGCAGGAGTCAACAGCGTGGGCTCAGGCAGTAACAACGGACAAACATTCATACGGTGCCCTAAGTTTGCCAGGCACCCCCCCTGCCACACCTCATTTGGGTCTCAAAATCCTGTAAGGGAGGTAATGATAGGCCCCGTCGCCCCCATTTTACAGATGAGAAAACCAAGGGGTTCAAAGTGACCTGCGTGAGATCATGCAGCGAGTTAAGTGCTGGGGAGATGATCTGAACCCAGATCTTTCTAACCCCACTTCCAACGCTCACTTCAGGAAGAGGGAGGAGAGAGGATCATCAGTATTGAAGGCATCTTAGAGATGACCCAGGCCAGCTTCCTTATTTCACTGCTTCTTTTTTCCAGTAAAAATTAAGGTAAGAGTAGGCCCTGCCCAAAGTAACCCAGTTCAAAAGTGGCAGTGAAGATTTAAATTCAGTTGTGGTCTAGACTAAGGCCTACAATGTAACAGGCTCGAGGAAGGAGGTATTGGGGTCATTAGGGAGGGCTTCATGGTGGAGGTGAGGTTTGAACTTGGCCTTGAAGGATGGGTAGGAAGGAGTTAGAAAGAGTTCTAAGGAATCCTTCGATTTAGAGCTGGGAGGGCCAAAGACTCATGCTGAAGAATAAGACATCTACTTTCGGAGAAGGCCTGTTTTGTTTGACTAGACACATTTGTTACAAGGGTTTTTGGTTGTGATGGCAGGGTAGGGGGAAGTGAGCAGGAAACAAAAAACATGCTTGTTAATTTAAAAAAATTTAATTTAATTTAAAAAAGAAAAGAGAAAGATGATGGACCCAGAAACATATAATGCCTTGAATGACAGAAAAAAAAAATGATCCCATCACCGGGTTCACAAAGTTGGAAGGGGCTTCAGAGGCCAACCAGCCTACCCTTTACCCACCAGAAATCCCCACCATGACCCCAATAAGCAGCCATGCAGTCCCCACCTAAAGACCTCCGGGGGGAAGAAAGCACTTGGGTAACCCCTGAAGGATTCCAAGTCACAGGATATAGGCTTTAAGGTTAACTGGCAACCAGGACAGGATGAAATCAGAGGGGATTGATGGCGACAGGGAGAGCGGCTGTTGCAACAGTCCAGGTAAGAGGGAAAGAGGCCCTGGACTGGGCGAGGGTTGTGGGGGGTGGCCCTGGCCTATGCCCAGCAGTCAAAGACAGAACAGCGAGCTTGGCATAGCTTAATGGGGCAACAATCACATCAGCAACTGCCCCCTCCAGAGGCGCTGAGGGGGGGTCTCAGTGACCCAGGGGGAGGGACCTCTGGCTCTCACTGAAACCAGACTTTACTGGAACCTTCCACTACACGGCCTTAGCTCCTCAGAGTTTCAAGCCACTCCACTAGGTAGGCAGGCCAGAGACTAGTACCTGCATCAGATACTTGGGAAAACTGAGGCCCAGACAGACGGAAAGTCACAACTACCTGGTTAAGAAAACAAAGCCTGGTTCTAGATGGAGTTACAGGTGAATTTCAGCAAACTTTTAAAGAATGATACCTGGACTACACAAATTATTCTCAAAAACCGGGAAAGAAAACACAGTCGATATTATGGATGTTTTCCATGACTATACATGTATGACCTATATTGAATTACTTGCTTTCTCAATTCGGTGGGGTGGGGTGGGGGTGGGGGGTGGGGAGGGAGGAAGGGAGAAAATTTAGAACTCAAAGCTTTAAAAACAAATGTTAAAAAATTGTTTTTACGTGTAACCGGGGTAAGATAAAAATACTGAACAGAAAACACTGTGGAACCCATTTGACAAGCCAATATAGTCCTAACACCTGAGCCAGGTGAGGACAAAGCAGAGAGAGAGTTCTAGATTAAGGAATTAATTATTAAGGACATTTTAATCCTTGAGGAATAAAAAAAAGTAATTATTAAGGAATAAATTATTCAGGAGTAAGGATAGAGGTAGGGACCAGGCCTGTGATCTGAGCAGGATGAGGAACTGCCGAGTGAGAAAATTCTCTCTACCAGTACAAGTCTGGACCTTCTTTGTAACTCATGGTCTCAGAGATCTGTCTGGGAGCTTAAGTGACTGGTCCAGGGACGCCCAGCTAGGATATGTCAGAAGTAGGATTTGACTAGCAACAGCTAGGTGGTACAGCGGGTAGAGTGCCCAGAGTCAGGCAAGTCTGAGTTTGAATCCAGCCTCTGACACTTACTAGTTATATAACCCTGGGCAAACCCTTTAACCTCTGCTGCCTCAGTTTCCTCAGCTGTAAAATGGGGATCATAATAGCACCCACCCCATAGAATTGTTGTGAGGATCAAATGAGAGAAGATTTGTAAACTGCTTAGCACGGTGTCTGATATATAGCAGGAGCTTAATAAATGCTTATTCACTTCTTCCTTCATCACCCTCCCCCCCAATCCTCTTCAACCCCAGATCCTTGAAGGCAGGGATTGTGTTTCTGTCTTTTAAATGTTTACATCCCCAGTGCTTAGCACAGCACCTGGCACACAGCAAGTGCTCAATAAATGCTTATTAACTAACTATCCGCTACGCCGTGCTGCCTCTCTGTTGATGAATGTAGATTCAAAAATTTTAAATGAAATCTTGCCCGCCCCCTAAAGGCCAATAGTCCCACAGCACATCTGGGGTAGACAGGGATTGGCTCCCTCTTAACTTCTAACTCTGGGCTTGTCCCCCTGTATCCCAGGGCCTCAAGACTAGGCAGAATTTGTTCTCTCTCAATACCAACCCCCCCCAAGCACAGGATGGGTCGGGGGGGGAGGGTCCAGAGGAGCCCTCCTCAGTAACTAGTCTTTCAATAGAACAAAGCCCTGTCCAGTCTCACTAGGGGCCTTGAAGGCCAGGACCAGCCCCAGCTATCGCCTGGGTCACCGGACTGTAAGACATAGATGGAAATGGGGTTAGGATCTCAATTTCCAGGATGGACAGCCACTAGGATGGCCCATCCATCCTTCTCGCTGACCATGTACCAGTGCCTCTAAGGGGGTGGGGGGTGGTATGGGGTTCCACTCCCTCAACCTGAGTCATGGGCTATAGGAGGAGGGAGGAGGAGGAGGGGATGGAGTGGGAGTACCAGAAAGCTCAGTCCATGTCCCCCTGGCGAGTGGCGTGACTCCAGCATGGCTTGTCACAGCCTGACCTCCACCCCAGACCAGCTGTTAGGGAAGGGTCCAGCTGGCACAGACTGCGTGACTCCTGGTCCCTGATGCAATTCTCACCCCATGTTGGCCTTGCACAACTCAGGGCTTGCTTGAGGGGAGGAGAAGGCTGAGGTTGGACCCACCTCCTCCCTATGCTACAAGTTAACGATTGATCTCTGGGGGAGAGGAAGGAGAGGTGGGAGAGCTGAAGCTGGAGGCCAGCCAGTGGGCAGTGCCTCAGGCATAAAAGGGAAAGGCTGGAGGCCCCGGACAGCAGTCCCCAGGCTCAGCCTCTAGCCCCTCTGACCTCTCCAGGTGTAACCATGTCTCTTCTCTTGTGCCTGCTCATGATGCCCAGCCTGGTACTGCCCATGCCCACACCCCCCAAGCCAAGCCAGGAGCTGGCGCTGCAAGATGAAGTCAGCATCCTTCTCCACGGCATCCTGCAGTTTGGCCAGGCCCTCAACCACATTTATAGGGCCACTGAGGCCCAACTCGATGAGGCCAGCCGCAGCCTGGGGCTTTATGAGCAGACCGTGGTTATGCTGCAGCAGGACCTGGGCAGTACCCGGGCACGGACGCAAGAGCTGGAGAGGAATCTAGGGGAGATCCAGGTAGCTAAGGACAGGGGGAGGTGGGCACCCCCGGGAACAGGGAGGGGAGATGCCAGGCTCCCAGAGGGCTCTTGCCCTTCTTTGGACACCCTAAATAGCCCCTTGCACCAGTCAAGGCTACTGCACCCTCCGATCCCCTTGTTCCATCGGGGGCATCTCCCTTAGTTCAGCCTCCCTGGTCCCCTCTCGACACCTGCTTTGCCCCAACAGGCAGAAGAGAAGAGCTTGGAGTTACAAGCTCAGGGAGCCGGGATCGCACTCAACAAAGCAATGGAGGGGCACCAGGCTCTTCAGCAGAGAGTAGAGAAGCTCCAGGGGGCCCTGGCTGCAGTGGTGCCCAGCCACACCCAGAAGGAGCTTGAAGACCTAAAGGTAAAAGCTCCTAATAGTGCACTGGGGAATTGGGAGGTGTGGATGTCAGCTCCAGAGCCCATCCCTGGATCTTAGACAGCTTTCTTTCCCTTGGGGTCAAAGGCAGGCAGAGGGACAGAGATGCCCAGGGAAATAGAGCCAGGGCCAGGGCCATCCCTGATGGCTACAAAAAACCTGCAGGACTGTAGCAAGGGTCCTGAGCTGAAACCAGGAGCGCTGACTTCCCATGCAACTTGGGGCAAGTCCCATAAACGTTCTCAGTTTTCCCATCTGTCAAGCAGGAACCCTGCCCCTTGTCCTTCCCTAGAAGAGAGCACGCTGGAGAGGGCTCAAGCACAGGAGGCAGGAGAAGGAGAACGAATTGATCTTCTCCTCCCTCCAGTTCTGGCTGACTTCAGAGAAGGGGAGGTGGAGGGAGGACGCCAGTTTCTGAGACACACGAAAGGACAGGCATGAAAAGGCAGCCGCTGATTGGGTTCAGTTAGGGGTTGGAGGCAGGGTAGGTGCCAGGGCGGGGGCGGCTTGGAGCTAATACCCAACCCTGCTCCCACAGCTCTACACGGACAAACAAAGTCAGATCATCTGGTCCTTAATGGGTCACGTCCAGCGGCAGCAGCGAGAGCTTGACCAGCAGCGGCAGCAGCTGTGTCACATTCGGGAGAGGTGAGGAAACGGCCGGGGCAGGGGAGGACAAAGGAGGAGCCAAGACAGCTTGGTGCCCTCTCACCCCGAATCCTAGAGATATCTAAGTGTGACTGATGGTTTCCTCTCCTCTTTAGGCTCCAAGCTGGAGCACTCCCATCCTGAGCAAGCTGGGAAGGAAGACTGAGCCCAAGTAAGATGGCCCCTGGGACAAGGGCCTCAGCAGGGGAGAAGATGGATTGTTCTGATCCTTGCTCGCTGTGAACGCCTGGAGAACGTGCTCTGCACTCAGAGGACCTGAGTTCAAAGGCTGGATGTTGCTTACTATCTGTGTGACCTTGGCCAAGTCACAACCTCCCTGGACCTCAGTTTGCTCATCTGTAGAATGAGGGGAGTGGACGGGACGGCTCCTGAAGTGCCCACCAGCTGTGCTACGATCCCCACGTCCCTCCCCAAAGGGCCTCTATGGCAGTGGCTCCGCCTAAGAGCTTGGGTGGCTGAGGGAGGCTGTCCAAGGAAGACTGAGCAAGTGGGAAAACCGGCCAGAGGAGAGGTAGCCGGGAGGGGGGGCGCCCTCAGGCAGGCTGCAAAGCTGACATTATTAAACCATTGTTTTGGCCTGTAGATGCCTGGACCTGTTTCTTGGGAAGGGGAGGGGGAAATGCATGATTCTAAGGCTCTCACTGGGACCTCCTGACTGAGGCACACCCAATGCCCCCAAACTGCCTCTGCTTCTGTCCAAGCAGGATGGAAGAAAAATTGAGAGCACAAGCCTGGCAGATAGAGAGGGGCCTGGGACATGGAATTACACCCAGAATAAAGCACAGCCCTCAGAACTCACCACTGGGACCCACCTATAGCTGGTGAAGGGGGCATAGACCTCTCGGGCTGGAAATTCCAGGATCTCCTTGATGGGGCGGCCACGGGGGTCAGGGTATGGCTTCACATGCAGCAGCTCCGGGGATAGGCAGAAGTGGGGGTTCTCAGGGGCTGGGGAGATGTCGATCTTAAGCTGGGCTGCAGACCACAAGGTAGAGGGAATATTTAGGTCTTTGCTAATATTTTCACCTCCATCCTAGAAGGCCCTCCCAGTCCTACCTGTGCTAGGAAGCCTTCCCTGACCACCTTGGCCCACACAGGGCTCTCTTCCATCTCTAGACACTAAGTGTCTAATGGCTGTACCCAAGCCAGCTCAAAGTGGTTTGTGCAGGGCAGGGGCTGGGCCTGGGGACAAGGTGTCTGGATGTGCTAATTCCTGGGGCTGAGGGTCTGGGGACAGAGGTATCTGAGGAGGAGGGTGTCCGGGTTACTGCTCCACATTTGGCACCATGGATGTTCCAGACCCCGCAGGTTCTGGCTAATAGTCCTTTTACTATAATCATAAACATTGGCTTATCTGCAGCGAGAAGGCTAAAAATCAGTAATAAATAAGCACTCTTGGCAAGGAGGTTAAAAACAGTCAGCGGAGGGAGGGAGTGAATCTAGAAATCAAAATTTGAAAAGAAATGAATGTTAAAAATAAATAAATATTTTTATAAAATAAAACTAATAGAATGGGTAGGGGAAGCAGTCAGCAGAGGGGCAGTCAGGAGTAGTTCTCAGGAGCTCCCCCAACAAAATCTTAAAAACTGCTTTTATACCCTTCTGGCCCAAAGAGGACACAGCTAGGGCAATCAACCTTAGGGGAGTGGGAGGGATCAAAGTTAAACCAGACTCACCCGCATCTGCATAACAAACAACTTCTTTGGTTGCTGGTGTCCAGCTGGTGTTGTGGGAGTGAGAGTGTGTGAGTGTGTGTGTGTGTGTGTGTGTGTGTGAGAGAGAGAGAGAGAGAGAGAGAGAGAGAGAGTGTGTGTGTGTGTGTGTGTGTGTGTGTGTTGGTGGAGGGGAATGGAATTCACAGTAGAGAGCGAGGGACAAAAGTCACTGGGATTGAGAAATTGCTGGGGACCAGGATGTCAGGGGATGAAGAGATGGAGAAAGAGAAGCCTGGGGATAGGGGATTCTTAGGAAAAAAGGTATCTAGCAATGGGAAGATAAAGACAAGGGTGTCTGAAGATGGGAAATTGTTGGGGAGAGGGTGGGGAATGGATCTAGAGACAGGGTAAGAGGTGGCAAGGGATAGTAGGGGAAATAATGAGGAAGGCAGTACCTGTGACAGGCCGTAGCCTCCGTAGCACTGAGGACGGTTTCCTCATGTCTGCCAGGAACTTGTATAAATTTTCATCACTCAGCCGGTCACCCTCCTGTAATTTGGGCCAAAAACATGCTGCCTTATCTTCTGCCCTGCTGTGAGATCCCAGGCCCATCACCCAGCATTCTCTGGACCTTAGAGAACTCATTCTAGCCCTCCTGTCAACCTCAGATGAGAGAATCTTCCCTGCTTACCCCAGCATTTCCCCAGGAGGCCCCAGGCTTCACTTTGGCCTAAGGATCACCCCTACCTGTTTGAAGAAGTTAGTAACAGTCAGTGTGGCTGGGCGAAAATTAGAGAAGCTACAGGCATCATCTCCAATGCTGGCCCGCTCAAAGGTCTTCCTCTTCTTCTCATTCCAAGTAGACTTCCGCTCTGAAATAGAGAGGGGAGTGGAAAGTCAGAAGAGAGGCTGGGATGGGGAAGAGAGATTCAGGAGACAGTGAGATGGGGAGAGAGACAGGAATGAGAGAGATGAGAGGAGGGAAATGAGAAGGGAGATGGAGGGGAGAGAAAGTGAGTGAAGAGGGAACCAGAGGAGGGCAGGAGAGAGAAGAGAGAGAAAACAAGATATGGGGAGAAAAGGAGAGATGAGAAGAAGAGAGAGAGAAATGGGGAAAAAGACAGATGGGAGGGAGAAAAAAGCAGGAAGATGAGAAGGAGAGATAGAAGAGAGAAACAAAGATAAGGAGAAAAAAGAGATGGGGAGAGAAAGAAACAAGAGGAAGAGAAAGAATTGAGAAGAAGAGGTAGAAGAAAGAATGATAGGGAGAGAAAGAGATAGAAGGGAGATGAGGAGAGAGATGTGGAAATAAAGACAGAGATGGAAATGGAGACACACACACATACACACGCACACACACACACACAGAGAAATGAGGAACCAAAAACAGAAACAGGCATAGTAAGAAAGATGGAGAATTATTTGGCCACAGATGTGTTTGCATGTGGGGATAGGGATGGAGAGGGGTGAGATCAAATACACTACCTGCACTGATCCACTATTGTCTATGTTCTACCCCAGTCCTGAACACACACACACACACACACACACACACCCAGTGATGGAGTTAGAAGCATTTGCAGAAAAAACTCAGGTGAAAGAGCATAGAAATCCTAGATAAAACATTAAAGCTGGAAACCTATTTGAGATAGTTACTGCCC